AGTGGTCAGCCAAGCAGGCATTGGCTTTGCAACGTTTAGTGCCTTGCGCCGCACACCATTGAACATGTTTTGATGTTGCTACATTTGTTTCCTGCACACCGTGCACCCTAGCTTCAAAAGATATAGTTTGTTGGTTCGGATTTTGGGGGAGTCGTCTCCTGGATCCTGCCCTCGCCGCAGCCCGGACTCTGGCCGCCTCTGAGGTGAGCAGGTTCCGGAGGCTTTTTCGCCTGGCGGGGAAAGCGAAGAGGCCAAAGATCGATGCGCTGAAGAAATCCTTGGTTGGCTTTGTTGAACCTTGATCACCTATTATTATTCAGTATTTTGTTTTCTAGTTTTTGAAGTTGGGTGATTTGGGTGGTGTGGCCACCCAGTATATATAATATATATCTATACGTATACGGAACTTTAACTGGGTGGGGCCCCGGTGCCAATCAGGACTTTAAGCGTGTTCGTGAACAGCATCCAGATGAAGTTGAAGGGAATGAAGAGGATTCTGGATCAAGTGCGTGTGGCTCTACGTTGGAAGCCCTGGCACTGCCATGTGCAACTTAACAATTTGAGTATTCATGTTGTCATGTTGTGTCATTTGTTTGGATTTGATGTTTGTTGCCTATATATACATATATATATAGGGGGCCCGTTGTAAACGACCCTGAACACGTTTAGTTGGAACATGGTGGAACCAACCCGGTTAGAGGGCCCGCAAAAACTGCTCAGGCTGATGATGGTGTTCCAGAGGCGCTGCTGAAGCCAGCCCTACGGACGGAGAAGGATCTGGGCTTGCTTCAGCTGGCCAATCAACTCACCGCGGCTCGCGCAGGCCCTGAAAGCCAAGGAAAGCAAGCCTGAGGCCGAGGTGGATCTCGAGGAGATTGCAAAGCGCTGGCTTTGGGACCTCAAGCGGGCTCCGGCAGAGACTGCGCCAAGCTTTGATTCTTGTTGGTTGATGGTAAATCTTTTCAAAAATATGATTCTTTTCAAGCTGAGCCATGAAACAAATAGTTGTGGTGCCCGGAATCTGTGTTTAAACCTTGGCAATATGTAGTTTAAAGAATAGCTCCACGATGATATGAACCTGTTCACTCAAAAGGTTCAGTCACCTACAGCCCAGGTCACTGAAAGCAAGAAGGCTCCTATTGCTGAGCCGTTTGCTGTCTCTAGCCAGTACAAGAAAAAGCTTCTTGCCCAGATCGCTGAGAAAGAGAACTCTCAGCCTGAGCGTCCAGCCAAGAAGACCAAGGTTCCACCAGTGGCTGCTTCGTCCTCCACGGATGAGGTATACAAGCCGGCGGAATACAGCGAGAAGCGAAAGGCATACATCCGCAAGCTACAAGAGGAAGGTTTAGCTTTCCGTGAGGCATCCGATCAGTGGAACAAGAGTTCTGAGCGGGCCAAGCTTTTGAGTGCACTTTCAGTAAGTGAATTAGTGCGTCGGCGTTTTTTGCCTAAGGGCTCGCAAAGCAACCCTTGGGCTAGCTGAAGCTTTGATCGAATCATGCATCTTATAGATTGGATGTGTTCTGCATACGTCCATCGATCGGGGGAAGAGTTTCCAAAAGGAAGAGGTGGGTACCTGCCAGCTCTCATATGGTTCGCATACGTCCGTCGATCGGGGAAGGAGTTTCCAGAAAGAAGGGGTGGGCACCTGCTGACTCTCATCTTTATTGTGGTTGTGTTTCGCATGTCTGTAGATCGGGGTAGGAGCTTCCAAGTTGTACCTGCTAGGTCTCACATTCATTATATGGTCGTGTTTTGTGTATTAACCGGGAAGAATTTTTGAAGAGGCTAGGAGGTGGGCACCTGCTAGCCCTAATAGTTATTGGTTGCGTTTTCGGACCACCCATCGCACGTCGATCGAGCGGAGAAGAGGTTTTCAAAAGGAAGAGGTGGATATCTTCGCTAGATTTCATACTAGCTATTTCACGTACTGGTCGTGTTTCCAAACCTTGCACGCCGCATGCCCATTTATCGTCATTGAAGGTCTGGCTAATGCCCCGAGGAAACCGGACATGGACCGTGGAATCTAATATAGTTTTATATATCTAAGTAAGTAACATGCAGACTTTGGACATCTTTGGACCAAACAAGGGTGAAAGCAACCGTACCCAAACATTTTGCGAAGCTACCCGCCATGAGTCTTGAGCTGCAACAATGGGGGGCACCCCCTGCGCTGATGCTCTTGATCTTGCTGTTGAACTTCAATGCAGCAATAGATCATCGCCAAGATGTTCAATTTTGTGAAGTCTTCGCTGGCCAGGGTGAAGTGACCAAATCACTGAGGGCCCTGGGATTGAAGGGTACATGCCACGACATCTCCTATTCGCACGAGTACATGGATTTGACATCCACTGTGGGGTTCCTGTTTCTTACCTCCGGTCAATTTGTAAAGCTTTTGTTGTTGATGGTTATTACTGGGTACTGAAACGCTTGGGATCGCTAAGCCACTGAATGCCAGCGCTCCAAGGTTGGTGCTCAATGAGCTTCGCCGCACTGTGCCGGGAGCAATCTGCGTGTTTGCACTCTGCTGCAATTCGTTTTGCAGAATGCTGCTGGGCAACAAAATATACTTAATTGGGCCGATCAAAGGACATCAAAGAGTTCCTTTTATTGGTTTGGTATGTTTTAGTTGTGATGTTTTTTGTTGTGGCTGCCCTCGCATGAAAATTAAGGAGCCGCAGCTCGAGTGGCCGCCATGTGCTCTTCCCTTTGGGCTTCGAAGACCGGGCGTTTGTGGCTCAGGGCAACCTGTTGGCACCCCGGCTCATGCTCTTCTTGTACCTTTGCAACAGCCGCGGTGTCATATGGGTTGTGGAGCAACCTGAAGGAAGTGCCTTCAGCTTGCTGCCGCGCTGGAAGGAATTCATTGAGTATACGACGGTACCCAAAAGAGATTTGATTATGTTTTGTTTGGGTTTGTGTTTGGTAGCCAATTTGGAGTTGAGTAACGTTCTGCTAAGATGTTCCCGTATGTCCTCTGAGGTATTCACCACAAGCTTTTGGATGGGGGCATTCCAGGGCCCGACGGCCAAACGGCACCGCTTGTGGTCTAACAGCCGTTCTTTACTGCAAGGGATTTTCCAGCATGGTGGCTACATGTCAAGGGCAGCGATGCAGGCTTTGCCAGGTGGGCCATTGGTCAAAAAGTATAAGGACAAGAATGGCATTGCAAGATGCACTGGTTTGAAGGAGAAACTACGTCAATCCCAGCTTCTTGACAGCGAAGTACATATGTTTGGTTGAAAGGGCTGTGCGCTTCCAATTTGTTCCAATATTGGGGGTACATGGTGGGTCGCTTTGACATGGTCTAAGGACATACACGCCGATGTTTGCAGAAACGTTGGCGGCGCTGGCGCAGAAAGCTGCAGAGGATGGAGGGTGTCAAAGGAAGTTAGTTATACATATATCAAGTGTATGTTCAAGACAAGATAGCGCTGCTGTTTGTATTGATCTTTTACCTAGTCTTTCACGCATACATGTCAAACGTATATCAAAGGTATATCAAAAGGATGTTTATATCTGGCTCCCGGACATCAAAAGTATATCGAGATCTTGACCTTTGTTTATATCTCGCTCCCGACCTCAAAAGTATATCGAGAGAGAGAGACCTCTTGACCTTCGTTTATATCTCGCTCCCGGACATCAAATATAGAGTTTGTACAGCTGAGCTATAGGGCCCTGTGGAAGGAGCCCTTGCCGGCCCCGAAGCATCCAGTCAGTCCAGAGCGGCAGAATGACTTTGAGCTGTTCCGGCAATACATGGCCCCTCGCGGTGGCCTTTGCCTATTGGGTGATCTTTGGGGCGATGATACTTGGCATTGCTTTGGTATATATGTGGGCTTTACTGTGGGCTTTATATATCAGGTCCCGACCTATAGTCTCTCAAAAAATATATATATATATACACATCATCCATATGAAAACAACTCAACAACATCTCAGGCCAATTTGGATCCTGTCCTCGATTACCTCGGCGGCTGCAAGCACCTCCAAGCTCCAGGTCGATGGGAACCTTGGAGCCGGCTGAAAACTATAGCTTTCTTTTAGACCATTTTTTCAATCCTCCAAAAGAAGACATGGGAAAGCTGGGCTGATACCACTGGCCAAGGAACCATTGATTCGATCGTTTGGTCTTCCCATCAAGAAGAAGAAAGCGGGATGACCGATCCTACGACTTCGGGGCTGGTGAGTTTCTGATGTGGGCGCCTGGGAGTGTTCTCCCAGAGTGCAAAATAGGTGGCGGTTCATTTTGAGGAACCACAATTCAACGTTCTTGCTAATTGGCAATGCCATCATGAACAAGTGTGATGGGCCGATGACATACCTGGGTCCTCCGGAAAACTATTGCAGCCTGTCCGTATATTTAGGATGATGTTTGATGGTTATAGTTATTGATATGTCTCAATTCGGATCCGCCAAAAGATATATAGTATGAAGAACACATTAATGACAGCTAGGTTGAAAGAAACAGGTTGAATTAATCCTTCCCCAAAGAGGAAAACGTGAGACGAACGTGAACACTTGGGACCTCTGGAAAACCATATCTATGTAAGATGACGTTCGAAGGTGATTGATATGTCTGATTTTGTATCCACCAAAGCATTGGTGGGAGTTGTTTGGAGAAGAACAATTCCCTAAACGCTTTGTAGAAAGATGTTGAATCCTTCCAAAACATGGGCCGTGAAAAAACGTGATTTCGACGTGAAAACCACCCCATTTTGACGTGAAAACCCCGTGAATCGCGTGAAACTAGAAATCGTCCATTTCCTTACACGTTGATATGGGTTCATTGGATGTTCTTATGGGTTGGATCCATCTCCAAGTCTTTTAAGCCCAAGCTCGGATACATTCCTAGACGTTTGTGGGATCATCACCATGGTGGCTGGTGGTGCGGAGCTTCCGTTCCCGATAGCGGAGCTATCTTGGGAACGCTTTGGGGAGGTGCAAGCTGCCATGGATCTATCGGCAGACAAAACCAAATCTCTCCTTTCCATGGTCTTGGGAGAGCCGCCGGACGGCTTCGTGCCTAGGATATTGATTCAACATATGTTTTCTGGCCACTGATTGGCTGTGCTTTTCAAAAGGCAATCTAGTACGTATACATAAATATAGTATTATATGATATATGCAAAAAATATATCAGACTATAATACAAAACACCCAAACATGTTGCTTCCGTTTCCTTATAGAAAGACATTCAGCTTCCTTTTCTCTATAAAGACATTCAGCTTCCTTCTCCCTATATACAACAGTATCAGGATATTGCTGCCTTTTTGCAAGGGCAGGATGCAACAGTGCAGGGCAAGGGAAAACCAAAAGCAAAGGCCAAACCAAAGGCCAAAGGGAAGAGCAAAGCAAAGTCGGCACCCAAGGCCATGGCCAAGGGGAAAGCCGCTGCCAAAGCCAAATCCAAAGCGAAAGCAAAAGCGAAAGCAAAGGCGAAAGGTGCCAAGAGCAAGGCTCCAGTTGTGGAGCATGGTGAGGAGGGTGAGGAAGAGGAGGAGGAGGAGGATATGGAGGTGGAACCAGATGCAGACGAAGAAGAGGTTTTGCCAATGAAGCGACCAGCTGCGCGCTGTCAGCTGGAGGGACGAGTGACCCGGCAGCGCAGGCCCCCGATTGAGCCTGAAGCTGAGGTGGTTGTGTCTTTGGGTGACAAGGACGGACCCCGTGAGCCTGCTGCATCTGCGGTGGATGCTTCTCAGCCTAGGATGCAGGCAGAGCCTGTTGCGCCTTCTCAGGAGGCTGGGCTGGCAGACCCAGTGGCTGTGGGGCCTGCTGTGCCTTCACTGCCTGAGCCGGTGGCTGTGCCACCTGCTGATCCGCCGGCCCCTGAGCTGCCTGCTGTGCCTTTAGCAGCGCCTGGGCTGACAGCCCCTGAGCCACCAGCTGCGCCACCTGCTGAGCCTTCACCGGCGACTGAGCAGGCCGCGCCTGCTGTGCCTTCGCCGGAGCCTGGTGCATCAGCCGCTGCAGAGCCACCGGCTGCGCCCTCACTGGTTGCACCAGCTGGTGCGCTTGGGGCTACCCCTGTGCGGCCACAGAAGGAGCATCAATTTGGTAGCCCAATCACAGAGCTGGAATCGCAAGTGGAGTCGCAGCTGTCTTTGTGGTCTCGTGGTCATGGTTCATCCCGCACCTTTTTCTTTTTGGTTTTGCTTCATGTCAATTTGCTCTGAGGCTGATTGATGGGGGATTTTATGTTTGCGCCGTTGAGGTCGTGCCAAACTCTGCAGCAGGGTATGGAGTTGCTGGCCCTGCAGCAGCCACAGCCTGGTGGAGATGAGCATGATTCCCAACTCTCGGCCGATACACTCCAGCTCCTTCACGGCCCATTCGTAGACTTTGTTCATATGTGGTTTTGTATTAATAGTCCACGCCGAGCAGTTTGTCAAGAAGCGCTGTCATTTCTGTCATTTCCAGGCTTGGAGACAGTGTCACAACACTGCCACAGAGGCAGGATACGATGCAGCTCCAGGCGGCCTTGGCAGCGGCAAGGGCTCAAATTGACGTGCTTCAGGCCAAGCAGGCCATTGCAGAGGGTGCGTCGACAGATGCCACCTTGAAGCGCCAGAACGCGGCTGATTTTGAGGAGGCTATTGCTCAGGTGTGGGGTGGCTTTTGACAAAACATGTCATGTGTGTTTAATCTTCATTTGTGTTGAAGTTCCTTTTGATTGGTTCTTGCATGTTCCTGCAAAGGGTGCGGCGCCATCGTCAGCAGCGACTCGCACTCAAGAACATCTCCGTGCGGAAAAGCAAATGCGACTCGCAAAGGAAGCTGCAGCAGCTGATGGAGGAAGCACTATGCTGTATCCGGTGCCAGAAGTACGCCCTGCAGTGCCCGCTGCTGGGCTTGAGACTCCAGCTTCAATTGAGGCCACCCAGGTGCAGGAACCTTCGGAGCCAGTGATTGAGGTGAACACTTATGATGGTGCGGCAGTTGAGTCGCCGGACAGCCAACCAGTGAGCACCTTTGAGCCTGTGACTTCAGCAGAATATCAAGAAGTGGTCGCTGCTGCGCATCCATCATGCACAGTGCCTTTGCTCCCTACTCCTCCAGCTGAAAAGGAAGTGACCAATGAGATCAATGAGGGTCCTGGCCAAGGCCAGCTGGTGCTTCCTCAAGCGTTGGTCGCATCAATCCAGCAGGGTCAACAGGCAGCGCCCGCGGCTGGCTCAGAATCAAAGGGCAAGGAAATCCCCATTAACACCAGCACTTGTCGCAATGCGGCGATGAGACTTCGGCGCTTTATGGAAAGCCCAGATGCCGCCAAATTTCCACATATGTCCCAACTCTTCCAAGGGTCCAAGGCAGCCTCCTGGATATATAACTGAACATTTTTGTTTCACCTGTTTTTAATGAGGCAGTTTTCTGCTCACCTCATGGTCCCATAGATCTACTGAGGAGAAGCTTCGGTTGCTTCAGAGCTGGGTTGAGACCGGTGAGAACAAGGCGGCCTGCGAGAGTGACATCATCATCACCAAGCAGAACCAGCAGAAGACAAAGGGTGTCAGGAAGCTGCTGAGTGTCCGGCAAATGTTTGTGGAGAATCTTAGCTTTGCTATGCGTATTTGTTCAACTGTTGTTTGGACGTTTTTTGGGATCACCCCAACTCACCATAGATTGCATTTTTTGGTCGCCGAGTGAGGTATAAGTGGCCACTTCCCAAAGTGCAGGCCATAGTGGCACGTGGCGGTGGCATTCCTGATCCTGACGCGCCAGGAGTTGCAGAGTGCACGCAGTATTGGTGCTATGTGAGCCAAAGCATTGAGGATGAGGAGATGACGCAGCAAAGGGCACAAACCCGTATCCAAGCCGACACCAGCAGTGCTTCTTTGGGAGCTTTGTTCAACCATACTTCGCCAACTGCGGCTGCTGGGCAGGTGAGTACTTTGACCACTGAACAAGTCCAGTCAATTGAAGCTGCTACCATGGACGCTGGAGGACCAGTGTCAATACAAAATCTATTTTATTACTTGTTTATACGTTTCTTAATTTTTGAAAAATATATGTAGTATACGTATATATATACATATAAATACATATGTGTGGGTGCTTTTAATATGCCCCAACCATGCAGGATCCCGACCCGCTCCAAAGAAGACGGCCAAGGCCAAGGCCAAGGCAAAAGTTGCCGCTGGATCTGGAGTCACCACGGTTGAGCCTGAGACGATTGCTGATATCAAGCAAACCCTGAGTTGCTTGCCCTGTATACCTTGTATGGTTCCACTTCGTGTCAG